TAAAATGTTTGCAAAGCACAATTAAGTCTTTTGACTAACCCTCGATCAATTCGTTTTTTTATCTACTCCACAAGTATATGCATCTGCGTAGTAGTAGTCTAGTACCAAGGTAAGCTGCGCTTTTCGGAGTTAATTTCTAAGTCGTTATTTGAAATGATAATGGCTAAGTATATTTTTAGTTAAAAAATAATAATTTTTTGTGTTACATTCGTACCTACTTTTATGCTTGCGTTTATTAATGTATAAGCTTTGAAACGCGGTTTCGCCCGCTTGGTGTGTTGATAAAAAGCCAATGTGTTGATCCAGAGCCATCTATATAACAAAAGATTTAAATGCGAGTAGGGTGTATTTAAATTATGTATACATATTATACACTACATTGAAACAGTTGATACTTTTCTACTAGGTTCTAGTTCTAGCATGGTACAAACTTTATTCCTATTCACTAGCTTATACTTTTTGCCCAGCGGGCGAAGCAGTGCATAACTGGCTAAGCTGTTCTACTATGTACACATCAAATCATAACGAAATTATAAAGTAAGCTTTCGCATGAAATAGCTCAGTTGGAATGCATTCGAAGTTTATTTAGCAGGAGTTAATGTACATTCTGTGAGACTGTGACTAAGCTCGTTGCTATCTCGTCAGAGAATAATTAAATGAGGCTCACGAAATATACAGCCGTATACGAGTGCTAGAATTAAGGTGTAAGTAGTACGAGCTAAGGTTTAGTTTAGTTTCGTACGTGGCGTTTCATTAGCTGTGCCTATTTAGTTAATTTAAAGCAAAGTACCATTACACTGTCTCGTTTGGAGGTCGCATCTCAAACATGACTAACTAACTAGTCCAAACAAATAGAAACCTCGATCACCTGAGGGTTTAAGGTAGTTGACACTATTATTAGCACATACGCACCTTATCATATCACGCATCATTATAAGCCCGTTTCAGTCCATTGTTGGACATAGACCTCTCCAACTGGCGTACAGCCAATGATCTCGATGTTCAGCTCTTCTAACATAACCTTTACCGGTCACCTTACGGATATCGTCACCCTGTCTAGTTGGTGGGTGCCCTATACTACGTTTGCTTAGACAGCAGCCAGAACACGACTACCCTAATCGTCATCTGTTATTCGAAAGCCATTTTAGTTTGGGCTATGTGGACAACTATGTAGTTCTTTGTCGGATCACCTCATTTCGAATTCGATTCTTTATAGAGGTTCCGAGCATGATTTTTTGGAATAGGAGGGAAACGCCCAGAAGAATGGTAAGCAGTCAGCACCGCCCATGGATACCTGCAACGACAGAGGAGTTACGAAGACGTTGACGACCTTATGAGGATTAGATTAGAGGTTTTGGAGATTTAGGGATTGGGAAGGATAGGAGGTGGGGAAGGATTGGGCTTCCTTTAACCTCCCTCACACAGCCAAAAACAACGCTGTGGTTGTTTGACGGTGGTTTTCTGTAAGGCCGTTGTATCCCTCCGCTTGAGCCATAGAGTCATTGGTTTGAGCCGATCCCTTCGTGCAGAAAGCATGGCTCTTATACAATATATTTTGTAAACTACTAAAAAATTTTCTTTAACCATTATTACGACAATATTATAACCGTTCCCAGAACGCGGTAGGTGAAAGTAAAATGTTCATTGCTTGTTAGTGTAAATCCTGCGACACACAGCCATACGCGCTGTGTTGTAAAACCCTGCTCAGCTGAGGTTTTACCCTGTTCTTGTAGAAAACCCATTGTGAAGATAAGTCAGTTAATTCTTACTGAGAATGTGTGTTATATTTACGATTTACAATATTATAGTATTAATTTTTTTATTATATTTTCTTTTCTCCATTCATATTAAGTATTTTATTTTATAGTAGTATATTATACATATATATGTATAGGTAAATACACATATATATATATATGTATATTACTTTTTATATCTTATTTTATTTATTATTATTTCAATTTTTTCCTGCACCGATTGGCCTCAAATGTTAGTTGTTGGCCATCGCTGAAAATGAGCGCTGCGACACTGTCTCGCATAGTGTCGCTGCATATGCTGAGCGAGGGCCATTTCGCGTGGTTGTGGCGCATATTTTTCCTTATTTTACCTACTCTTTTTCTGTCTAACCATGTTTTTTTTTTGTTTAATATTTAAACACTTGTTTTATTTTGTGTCTTATGTGCGTCCTAGACGCGAATAAATACCTTTTCTTTCTTTGTTTCATTTATGTGTCAGTGTTTGTTCATGGTATAGGGTTGTATACGAGCACACTGATAATCTGATGGTAAGCAAGGATCGCTCATGAATACTCGCACACTAAAGTTATTAGAGGGATGGGAAAATTTAAGTTATATAATAGAGCTTTGTCAGAAGATAATATGTGTACAAATATATAAGGAAACAGAAAAAATGTGTGGGTTTGCAATAAAAGAAAAACAGGGTAACAAGTAAACAGGTAATAATACAAGGTAAATAAAACGTAAATAATTTGAAAAAAGACTATTTGTATGTTTATCTGTTTGTACACGCTTGTCTCCGGAACTCATGGATGGATCGGAATGATATTTTCTTAAAAACATACTTACATTATGGAATAACAAAAATCGTAAATCCATAAACCTTTTTTCTGCCTTGCGCAGACGATGTTGTATCATTGTTTATTTATTTATTTATTTAAACTTTATGCAACAAAACATTACATAGGCGGACTTAATGCCGTAGTCATTCTCACTAGTCAACCTTATTATTATGTTTATTATTTGAAATTATTTGAAATATCAGGTCACGTGTCGGCAGATAAATACATAGAACATATTTAATAGAGTGTACCTACAAGGAGTTTATCGAGTTACAACTAATCTAATAAAAAACTTAAGCAGTTGCTTGTTGAACGCAATAATTTCTTTATGTGAAAATCTGAAAATACAGAATATTTGACATCTTCTAACACTAATATTTCGGGGCCTGCCTCTTAGCTAAGTTTAATATCAATAATTGTTATCATTTGAGATTATTGACATAAAAATAATGTACGTGTGAGATTTCTCAAGGCTATCAAGGTAAGTTTTATGATCAACGAACTAATTTAAATATATTTCTTTCAGTTTAAGTGAAAGTAATAATCGATTCTGTAATTGGCAGGTAATTATCGAGTATAAATTATCGATAAACTAATTTAGCACATACTTACCTAAGTAATTCATAATTATAAGTTAAGCCGGATTTTATATTTAGAAAGTAACTTTAAATCAAATTGTTTTTTTCTTAAAATAAAGTATGTTTGTAAAACTATTGAGAATAAAAATTATTTTTTATAGATAAGTAATAAAAAATACGGTTATTTTTTTTTCAAATTCTAAACAGGATTAGAAACAGGACAAGATAATCTGTAAGTATAGAAAATCTTGAAAAATATAATATAATTATCTTGTTACGAACGAAATCTTTTCTATTCCGCGTAATTAAAACATGAAAAACATCTTTCCGTTTCTTAGAAGTAATGTAGCTGTTGAAATTGTATAAATATAATTCGGTATAAAGTGAAATTGTCTAATTGAATAATTCTCGTAGTTTTTATTCAAATATAAAACAATTTAAATGAGAAATAAAAACTGTTGTAGATCTCTTAATGTACAATATATTTTAAAGGATGAATGATGGTTACGGGGCAAGCGCCGAGAGACGATCTCCGGCCAAGCGCGGTTCAGCAGACGGCGACTAAGGGTAGCTCGCCACCCGATCAGAACAAGACCCGAGCGTAGGGCGCGTAGCGTTCCGCGCGCGCCTTATATTGCCAATAGACCACCACAGACGGGGCCCTGTAGAGCTGATGTGGCACCGCGACCTCGGCCCAGAGCAGAAGAAGGAACAGGGGGGTTGTTAGTCAGTAAGGGTCTGGCACTCCCTCCCTCCAGACCCTGGGCGGGAGAAGTCATTTGATGATTTTCCCCTCACAAAAAAGGGGCAAGCGTGATTTTCCCCTCACAAAAAGGGCCAAGCGCAATAAGGTACCGCGGCTTCGGTATGGAGCAGAAGTTACAGGGTGGTTTTTAGTCAGTAACAGTCTGAAACTCCATGTCACCTTATCCTAGGCGGAGGAAATAATATAATTTTCGCCCCTCAAAGATAATTAATAAATAAACAAAGAAGTGAATATTATATTAAAAACTATTTACAAATTAGTAGTGTACTATGTAGCTACCCACTACTTTAAAAAACTATTTCTTACATATCTACGTTAGAAATAAGGTTCAGGGATTAAAATCCTTCTCTTTTTAGAATTAAGGCATCCCAGTTTGAATTAGTGGAACAAGAACTTAATTCTTTAGTAAAATATGAGCTAACCACCCAGGTAGTAACGAGACCGGTCCGAGCGCGCCGTACCTACATATCTACATCGGTTATTTTAGCACAACCCTAAGCTTCACAGTTTATTCTAGGAATGTATGGGTCATTCATAAGAACATCATATTAGGGTTGCCACCTACGTACGATTTAGATATACTTGAACAAACTAAAGTTCGATTCTAGTACCAACAAGTCCTTTTTAGCGATCCTCTAGATACTAGGGCGAAAATAGAAAGAGTACTTGAGTTTATAGCTTTAGGTATATTTAGCCGTATACAAGACTCGTTTGATAAAGAGCCAAAAAATTTCATAGGCTTGGTAGAAAAATGTACGTAATTGGAAAACGTGACATATTTGCTGTTCACTTGTGTTTGAACAACTTATGTTGTACGCGATATTCCATTATGTTGCGTCATAGATGTGAGATCTAAAGCCACAAAATGTTACTGTTGAACAAGAAATCTTGAATTTTAACCTAAATCACAGTTTTTTTATGTATATAATAATAAGATGGCAAACGAGCAGACGGATTACCGGTTCGGTACCGGACGGTAAGAAATCTGCGCCACCCTTGGACACCCGCAACAGCGAAAGATTGACGCGAGCTTTGCCGACCTTTTAGGGATTAGGATTTTGGGGATTGGGGGACTTACATGGCGAATCACAACTCTGTGGTTGTTTCAGGTCGGTTTTCCCGCCGAGCCGACCCATTCGTGCCGCAGCATGACTCTCCCACACTTGATTGGTTGGTACGTATAAAGTATTAGGATTTACAAATTCTCATATTTTATCTGATAGGTCTTGTTTAAAATATTTGCTGCCTCAACAATAATGCTATAAGAATGCTTATTACAACGGTACTAGTGTTATAATTGGCGTGAAATGGTATTACTTATTGCCGGTCTACTTATACCGGCTTCCAGCGTGAATATAAAAGGAGTCATTGAAGTTTTTGCATTACCAACTTTTCGCTTCAGATAAAGGTCCTATAAACAAATGAAGAATAAAAAAAAACTTTTCGTTTGTTAAAAATCTGGGGACGCAATGTTTAGTTTCCAGACAAAAGTGCAGCGTTTTGTTGATGTGACAATTTCAATGAACAGATTATTAATATGAATTATTTTCTTGTCTTACACAAACAACGTAAGTAATAATTTTGTTAAGAACACACGTCTCCCTAATTACTCTTACTCCCAATAACATTAATATCGAACGTAGAATTCCTTATAGACGATTAAGTGAACGCACTCTAGCTATATAACTTAAGAAAATAATGCGAAAAATATGAAAATAATAATTAAAATAAAACTTCAATTAAAAACTTTAGACGTCCACAAGGCTATTCACATTCAATTTAGTTCCAACTCAGAGACAGGTCGAGTAATGTAAAGGTCATTTTACAAGTTGCTATGAAAATTTAACTTGTTCAAGAGTGCCACGACCTGAGAGGGCTTTTTGTTGGAGAAATTATTTAATTACCCCTTCGTGCCCGAATGAATATGGACTAACAAAGCCTCTTTGGGCTTTAGAGCAGTTTAAATGTTAATTTTTCATGTTCTGTGTGTTGATATTGTCTGTCGCCCATGCATCTAATGTTATTGTAGCTGTTACTGACTACAACATTCTATTTGTAGATTCCATTATCTTGCTTCTATTGTGAAGTTTTTTTTTTGTTACTTGGTTGTTTGCCATTTGTTGTAGTAAGTATGCGTAGGTGTTTACTAACATAGAGTTAGTTATACTCCTTTTTTAAAAGTTGGCAGCTCGTTTGACACCACTTCTGGACTATGAGCCGAATACTATAGATGGTTTTCTTATCTCCGGGCTTGGTAGAGAAGTTGAAGGTCATAGATTATTTAAATTATTGTTAATTTTTTGCAATATTGGCGTTTACATATTTGTTTTAAAAGGTTCATGTTCCGTGAGCGCTAATTCTTGCCCGGTCTCTGTCAAATGCGGAGTGGTCTGTGTGTGTTGAGTTATATAAACTACCTATGTGATTTGGATTTTAAAACAACTGCAGGAAGGGTAAAACCGACAATAAGAAAATGTGTGCTCTGCTGCTGTCCCCATAAGATATATTTTCGACTATTTTACCACAAGATTAGTGCGTATATTTAAAAACTAAAAAGCTAAATCTGGTATTTTGTCCTGAGCCGTTGGATGCCTTTCCAAACACAAATTTCACACCCTGCCGTAGACTCCGCTAATATTTGTTCAGGCCACAGCGTTACTGTGCAGTCTAGCCTATAGAAGTGTTGATGACAGTAAGCCAAAAGCCCTACTAGTGTGCAACATGATTCAACTGGCACCGATGCTTAACAACAGGCTATTTTTGGCAAGTTCTGCTTTTTTCTAAATATTCTCCTAAAACTTTTTAATAAAATGCACTTCTCAAACCTGAGCCCTCATTCACTTGACACATATGCGAGATTTCGACAGTTTAGGAAGCAAAAACAGTATTTGAAGGTACATTAAAAACAAACTTCAATCTTTTCAATTTAAAGTGTCCCTTCGTCCAGCATACTCACCATGGAATCCTGATATTTCATGAATGTCAAAAAACTGTTCTGAAATAGTGCTAAATAGTGCCCAAAGGAAAAAAATAGTGCTCTTGTACTTGCGAAGTTATAGCCATAGTTCGATGAGTATGCTGGACGAAGGTTTCGCCCAGCATACTCACCTCAGTGCGCGAATATCGAACGAGCTATAGGTACAATTTACGTCTCAAAAAATTGTGCTTGAAATAGTGCCCAATATCAGTCCAATTTTTGCTTGACTTTTGACCTAGAAAACCATAAAATTTGATTGTAAACTTCTACATACTAACGTAAAATGGGGTACAGTCGTCGACACATGTTTTTGGACAAAAATATTAAACTTTCTAATTGTAGACTTCATGTTATTGGAAATAATTATGGTATTTTCTCACATGTCAAAAACTTTCGATTAAATGCATTATTATATATTTTATAAATAATAATAAATGAATGAAACTTTAAGCGTAAATGAAGTCTATTACTTCATTGCATTGTGTGTTTGTCTGAATAAAAACAGTATTATTAAAATAATGTGTAATTAATAATATTGCGATTCTAAAGTAAATACTCCCTTACATAGACAATTAATAATTTACACAAGACAAAAATTGTTAGAAAGAAAGTTAATAATATTGTATTCGACTGTACTCAATGTAATGTATGTAGAAGTTTACAATCAAATTTTATGGTTTTCTAGGTCAAAAGTCAAGCAAAAATTGGACTGATATTGGGCACTATTTCAAGCAAATTTTTTTGAGACGTAAATTGTACCTATAGCTCGTTCGATATTCGCGCACTGAGGTGAGTATGCTGGGCGTAGAACCTACGCCCAGCATACTCACTGAACGAAGCCTATCACTCCGAAGTTATTCGAGCACTGTTTTTTCTTTTTGGGCACCGTTTGGCACTATTTGGGAACTATTTTTTGAAGTATGAATTATGTTTGAAGCGTATACAGATTCTCCGGACGGAGGTGAGTATGCTGGGCGAAACCTTCGTCCAGCATACTCATCGAACTATGGCTATAACTTCGCAAGTACAAGAGCACTATTTTTTTCCTTTGGGCACTATTTAGCACTATTTCAGAACAGTTTTTTAACATTCATGAAATATCAGGATTCCATGGTGAGTATGCTGGACGAAAGGACACAATTTAAAAAGTAATAAAATTAATCTAACAAGTTTGGGGTATTACGCAATCAAATACTTTCAACGATACATTGTGTCACGTCACAATTTATTACATTTTATAACAGAGCAGTGGTGTAACGAACTTTCACTTCTAAATTTAAATTCGTTATGTTAAACTATTGTTTTCAGAAATATCATGTCGAATATTTTTTTATTATTCAAACCTCGAACTACCTAAATAGATTTTCTATTTTCATAGCCTGTCAATAACTGTACATACGAATGTTACATAGAATTTACTACGGCCGATCAAAACGTTGAACCAATTCTCTCCAATTGACGAAACCTGAATTCATTCTTGGACTAATTCGAGCCGTGTTAAGATTTATAAGGACAATATTATTTGATTAAGAATTATTAAGGTTCTTTGTTGGATGTCGCCTACAGTCCTACAGTATCCGTAGTTTTCCCTTTTGATGTAGATTCGTGTAATTGTCAAAGACTTCGTTGAAATGTCTTCTTAGATGATTAATTTAATTCGGTGAATCGTCTGATGAAGCAACTAAACAGCTCGGTGTAATTAGTTGAGTAATACTTAAATATTTCCTTTAATTTCCATTTATTAAATACAGATTTAAGGAACTTGTATAACATTGTAATTGGAATTGAGAATTAGTTTGGTTTTACTTTTTTATTTCATTGTTGGGCTTTTTCATCAGTCTTTTAGAGACCACACCGCCCACTGCGGGAATAATCTGATAATTTTATTAGTTTTACAGTATACATTTACAAATGTCTGTCTTATGACTTATCTATGTACCGCTGTGTCCTCAGGAAAGTGATCAGCGGCTGCGACCTCTCGCGTCCGGACTTATTCGAGTCGATCGTGCGGAGCAAGAAGAACTGAGAAGCCATCCCATCATCTCTTTCTGCGAATCAGTTCATCAGACCAGAACTAGTCCCGAGCGTACGGCGCGTAGCGTACCGCGCGTGCGTCAAAGAGTCGAAAGACCTAAGATGAGACTCTACAGGGCCATTGTTCAGACGGGGTTGCGGGGCAAGAGCAATAACCGTGGCTTGGGCCTAGAGCAGGAGAAGTAACGGGGTTTTTAGTCGGTAAAAGTCTGACATACCCTCTCGCCTCACCTTGGGCATTGATTTGAATTGGTGATTTTCCCTTCACCAAAACAAAAAAACAAAGAAATACTCTGACTCAAACCAGTATGTAGTAGTAATGTAGCCTATTACTGGAAGACATTTTTATATTTCTTTGTACATATTGTGTACATAATCAATCACATTGTTCGTAACCAATAAACAATTCACAATTAATGGATACTTTCACTCTGAAAGAAAGAAACGTTTATTTGCTTAGAATACTGTTACAGGTGGTTTGATATTATAATGGTGTAGAGTTCAGGCTGTATTCTGCCTCTGAATGAAGAGGCTACATTTAATAATAAATATAAAAAAAAAATATGTCCACCCAAGCGAAGCCAGGACGGACCACTGGTATAGTATAAAAGTACCAATTTTTCTTACAAAAAGTCGAGTGTAAAATATAAATATTTTTGTAAAATAAATTCTTTTTTAGAATCGACACCTCGTTATAAAACACTCATGCCTCAAAAAGAACCTACACTTGTAGCGGTCATGGATTTTGAGTGATGTATTTTTAGATTGAAACTTGGGCCATGGGAAACAAGGATTACCCTCTTACTTGTGCCACGGGTTTAATTACACTGTTTAACCATAAGTATGCGTACAGCTAACATCAAAGAGGTTTGCCTAAGTTGAGAATGGGGTTTTGTTGATTTTTGAGTATGTTTTTTTAAGGATGGGTCGGCAAACGAGCAGACGAACTTATGGTAAGTAATTGGTGCCAACTATGGAAATCTGTAACATCAGGAACATGCCTTGTGGAGTTTAAGGATTGGGGGATTCGGGGATTGATCGGTCGGAGCGGGCACACGGCGAAACGC